TTTTCCACTTTGACCCTTCATGTTTTAAATTTTTTCTAATTTACTCTAAAAGTTAATTTCTGTTCAAAATTAGACAGAAAATGTCACGATAACTATTAAATAACATAAAAAAAGGTATTATAATATTGGGATTTGTGTTAGAGGTATAAGTTATCACTACAAGAAAAAACACCTTTGGCGACTAAATTTTTAGTCGCCAAAGGTCCTATTTTAGTCGCCAAATGTCAAAATTTCACTTTTCCCGACTAAAAAGTTTAGTCACCCGTGCTGTCGCCAATAAACGGTCGCGAATGCCTTTGGCGACTAAAACACTGTTAGTCGCCAATATATATGTCTTCAGCGACTAAAGATTTCGTCGCCAATAGTCAATTTCTTTATTGGAAATTATACCTTTGCCGACTAAACTGTTAGTCGCCAATAGTTCATTTTTATTTTATTATTTATACCTTTGGCGACCATTCACTTTAGTCGCTGAAAGTATTTTCAGAAAAAAAAAATTTTGCCTCCGCTGCTCCCAACAGGTTTCGAACTTGCGACGTCCCTTTGCACACGCCAAACCCTTTGCACAACACTCCCTCCACTATGCCAGTACATCATCACATGATCATATATGCAATATATATTATTTATATACTATATTAACCGCAATTAATACAAAATAATATTTATAAATATAATTTTTTTAATTCAATATAATTTTTGTCAAAAAATAAATTATTTACTAAAAAAAAAAGTATGCGACTTTTGGCGACTAAAACCATTTTTTAGTCGCTAATTGTATTATTTTGGGCTACTAATTACTTATTTGTCGCTAAAAAACAAGTTCTCAATTAAAAATCAGGACTTTTGGCGACTATCCAGAAATTTCGTCGCCAAAACCACTACTTTGGGCGACTAAAATGGATTTTCGTCGGCAAAACCCCCACTTTCAGCGACTAAATTGTTTTTAGTCGCCAAAACTGCTATAATCGGCGACTAAACCTGTTTTTTGTCGCCAAAACCGTAACTTTTCGCTACTAAAGTATTTTAGTCGCCAAAAACTGTGACTTTTGGCTACGAAACAAAGTTTAGTCGCTAAAAACCCTATATTCGGCGACTAAACTTCATTTTAGTCGCTAAAACCCTGCTTTTCGGCGACTATACTCTTTTAGTCGCTAAAACCCTGCTTTTCGGCCACTAATTCCATTTTAGTCGCCATTTCATGCACTTTCAACGACGAAATTTCATGTTTTGGTCGCCATTTCTGTTTTTTGTTGTAGTGTACAAAATAGTAACTTCGGAAGCGTCGTGCTCTTTGGGTATAAATCAAAAAAATTTCAAATCAGCGTCATTAGAACCGGTTACGAGTCTCTTTTCTTAAATTTTTGTCCTTGCATTGATTGCTCGGGTATATTAAGAGAACCATTAATTTCTTTAAAGTGCTGCAGAAGCGACCTGTTTAGATATAATTAATTGTAAATAATTGTTTTGATAAGCAAATCGAGTAAAACCAATTGGGTTTGAAACTTAGGATATATTAGTTGATATCTGGAGGGTTTTGAAATTTTTTGAACAGCGTGGAGTGGATTTTTAATTTTCAAAATTAGCGAATAGATTGGAAAATTTTGTTTAAAATTCTGTTTTATCTTAATGTTACTTTTAATTAAGTTTTGATCTAAACCCATGTCTTGGGTAATTTTAAACCTTGAGGAACATGAACTTAGGTATTATGTAAGAGTAACGATGAGTGGGGTTGGGCTGTGTTAATGCGCTTTAGTGTAGGGTACTTAGTTTATTATTCCTTTTAATATTTTTGAATTAGTAGTGTCGTGTGTAGTTTTCATACTTGGTTCAGGGCACTAGTTGGACTTTTATATTCTATTCAAGGATTACATTATTCTATTTTCAGGTGAGTAGTTGCATGCTACATATTTTTATAAATGTTCCCTTACCATGAACTGTTGGAAAATTAAATTATTGTTTTAGAACTAAACTGTTTTGATTTTTGAAGCTTCATCAAAACACCGGTCAGCCGGGCGAATGACTGGGCGGATGTCCGGCCAGTCAACCGGCTAGTGTAAATTTTTTATAAATTTTTTCCTTGAGGCAGTCATCCGGGGGGTCGACCGAGCGGACGACTGGGAGGACAACCAAGGAGCCGACCGGTCAGTGTAATTTTTTTACGAATTTTTTCCTTGAGGTGGTCATTTGGGAAACATCCGGAGGGATATCTAGGGGAACATCAGATGGTGAAAATCAAACGGCTATGAACAATGATTTGATAAAAAGTACATTGGTCCTCAATTTGCTGAAAGAAAAGTAAAATCCTGAATTTGATACTTATTTCATGAAACCGTTGAAGTAGGAAAATGAGTGATTTTTCACCAAATTCAAATTTGATGATGAATTTGAGTAACCATTGGAGATGATCTTAGAGGTTACTATCATTAAACCAATAGAGGCAATATTAATACAAGAAGAAGAATGGTTGCTTTCTAAGCAATGTTTTGAAAATCGGACTAGTGAGCGAACCAGAAAAGTGACTGGGCAAATGGGTCACTAGTTCAATTGCGGGTGAACCGGAATTGAACCATGATGTAATAATTATGTCATAAATATATTGAAATTTATAAGTATACAAAATATAGATATTAAAATTACAAAAAAAATAAATAATAAATAATAAACAGTTACAAAAAATATATATTTCTTAAAATTTATTGTACTTTTTTTATACATTGATTTTTAGTAAAAATAATTAAGATAATATTTAATATATAGTATATCAACTTATTACATTGTTAACAATTGTATTGATGACTTAATGGTTTAGGTGCTTGCTTTTTACGGATTTGTTCCATGTTGAACTCCTCTCCACATTATATTTTTGGAAGAAATTTTAATTCTTTAGACTGATGGTTCTTATGTTGACCTGTGGTCGATTTTGCCGGTTATTCTGATTGAATATGTGGTTCTTCCAGTTTTCAAATTCTAAGCCGGTTTTTAGTATAATCCGGGTTTAGAGGGTCATCTGAACCAGAACTAGGTCCCCGGTCACTGGTCCGACCGGTCGGTCCATGTTTTCAAACATTGTTTCCAAGGCTTGGCTGTAGCATGCATTGAATTTTAAAATGTAATTTAAGTACTAAGAAAACAATAGGTTGTGTAATGGCATTCTATTTTGGAGTGAGGAAGTTACATTGTTAACAATTGTATTGATGACTTAATGGTTTAGGTGCTTGCTTTTTGTGGATTTGTTCCATGTTGAACTCCTCTCCACATTATATTTTTGGAAGAAATTTTAATTCTTTAGACTGATGGTTCTTATGTTGACCCGTGGTCGGTTTTGCCGGTTATTCTAATTGAATAGGTGGTTCTTCCAGTTTTCAAATTCTAAGCCGGCTTTTAGTATAATCCGGGTTTAGAGGGTCATCTGAACCAGAACTAGGTCCCCGGTCACTGGTCCGACCGGTCGGTCCATGTTTTCAGACATTGTTTCCAAGGCTTGGCTGTAGCATGCATTGAATTTTAAAATGTAATTTAAGTACTAAGAAAACAATAGGTTGTGTAATGGCATTCTATTTTGGAGTGAGGAAGTGATTAAACAAACAAAGTTGGTACAAGTATTTTAATTTTATCAAATTTGACTGCTTCTTCTTCTTCTTCTTTTTGTTTTTGTTGTTGTTGTTGTCATGTTTAAGGAATTGTTATTGTGTTTCATTCCTTCTGCTCTTTTTGTTTTGGTTTTTTAATTTAGAAAAATGTTATATGTATCAATTGGTATGTTATTAGTGTACTAGTAGATGATGTGGCATAATTTTAGAGATTTTAGGTCTTTCTTATTTGTATAATGGGTGGGATCATAATTTTAAAATGATAATATCATAATATATATTGATATACTAATTGATATATGTAGCAACAACGTTTAGTTTAAACAAGGTTGTTTTGGGTGAGTGTTTACATATGACTGTGTGGTAAGGTAGTTGGGATAAGAAGGTTTTGCTATGATGCATTATTTGTCTTTTGCTTTTCTTTTATTGGTGTATTTTTTTTTTTTTGGAGAAAATTATTTATAAGTCCTATTAGGGAGACTTATGCTATATATGGTCCTACTAAAAAACTTATGTTCCCATAAGTTCTGTGGGAAGTTTGTTGACACATTTACCCTCAATATTAGTTGTTAATATCATAAATAATATAGATGATGTGACATAATTTTAGAAATTTTAGGTCTTTGTTATTTGTATAATGGGTGGGATCATAATTTTAAAATGATAATATCATAATATATGTTGATATACTAATTGATATATTAATTAGTATATGTAGCAACAATGTTTAGTTTAAACAAGGTTGTTTTGGGTGAGTGTTTACATATGACTGTGTGGTAAGGTAGTTGGGATAAGAAGGTTTTGCTATGATGCATTATTTGTCTTTTGCTTTTCTTTTATTGGCAAAGGTTTTTTTTGAGTTTTGTGGACTAAAATTTATAAAAAGACAAAATATATTAAAATAGTTAATAAGACAAAATGTCACATCAAATTCATAATCATTTTATTTTTTTCTTTCATAAACATCACATCCAATTAAAAAATAAATCAAACTATCTTCCCCAACACAAAAATTTTAACCTATTAAAATGACAAAAAATTAAAATAACCTACTAAAATAATAACTATCCAAACACCAAAAAGCATTGCCGAACCATTCTCCAAAAAGCAGACATTACTATTAACATTTATTATTTAATAATCACTTTTGAGTTTACCCACCACACATTAATTGTTTACTATTCATCATTTGATTTTTCCAATTCCTCACTAATGACAAGTATACATTGAAAATTCCAGATAAGAATTGAAGTAAGGAAATTATTCCTTCCACATCTGATTACAATTCGTCGGCCGCCTCGCAGGATAAACGACCGGTCATATGAGGTAGAAGGATGTGAAAGAAAAAGACTGGTAATGACAACTTGCATAGGGTCTTAATTGGGGTAAATTACACTACTAGCCCCTTTAGGTTCAAAATTTTAATAAAACTTTATTGGTGAATTCATCTAAACCTTGCTCTGGACAACTTGAGAGCCTCTTCACTGCAACTTCCCTCCCATCAAGTAATTGACCCTGGAAAAAAAACATGTTTCAGGCAATTAAAACTAGAAACCAAGAAAAAAGAAGGGATTTTTGGTGAAAAGCCACTTCTATGAGGTTTTTTTGTGTGAAGCCCACCAAATAAAATAATAGTTTCAAAAGTCCCTCAAATAAAAAAATATGATGAAAAGGTTGAAATGCCCTTCCATATAATCCAAAACCCTCGTTGAACCATTTATCTTCTTTTCTATCTCTACATTACTGGTATCCTCTCTCTTCTCTTTATTTTCTCTCTTTCTAAGCCCTAAACCCTCTTGATCTCCATTTTTGATCCATCTCACAAAATCGAAATCTTGTAATCGTCCATTGAAATCCATCACCATCGCAGATTTGATGCCTATGAACTTATGTTTGAGATCAATAATTTCAGATTTGAGATAAAATGACCTCATATATGTCCAAAAAAAAAAAATGATAAACTGATATATTACAATAAAAAATCGAGAGTTTTTTGTTTGTTTGTTCATAGATCTAAAATAAAATTCGACTATAATTTATTTATCTAGTATGTACTCTGTTTTCGCAACGGTAAAATTTTACTCTAATTAATGAAAAATAAAGTTTATTCTCTTATGCATAGACAAACATTCAACAACACAGTAAAATTTTACTTTAAGATTCAGAGTAAATTTTACTCTAAAATTTACTAGAAAACAAATCAGAAACTGTATAGACAAACATTCAACAACACAGTAAAATGTTACTTTCAATTCAGAGTAAATTTTACTCTGAAATACAGTAAAATTTTATTCTAAAATAAAGTAAAATTTTACTTGAAGATTCAGAGTAAATTTTACTCTGAAGATTCAGAGTAAATTTTACCAGAAAACAAATCAGAAACTGCATAGACAAACATTCAACGACATAGTAAAATTTTACTTTCAATTCAGAGTAAATTTTACTCTGAAATAAAGTAAAATTTTACTTTCATGTTAAGAAAACATAACAGATAACACCAGCGTAAATTTTTATTCTCATTTTATCAAACAAAAACAGAGCACATACCAAAGTAAAATTTTACTCTCATTCTATCAAACAAAAACAGAGTACAAACCAGAATAAAATTTTACTCTCATTTTGTCAAACAAAAACAGAGCACAAACCAGAGCAAAATTTTACTTTCATCATGTCAAATAAAAATAGAGCACACACCTGATTGAACTCGGCAAATCAACAAAAAAAAAATAAAAAAATAACAACAAATTTATACAGCTTTGCAATGTAATCTCTCATTTAATTGAGAGTGTTGATTTTAGATGGCGAGATTGTGTATTGTTGACCAAGGGTGAGATCGTAGGCGGTGAGATCTTCAGACTTTGAGATCGTCTTCATAGATTTCGCAGATCATCTTCACTTTGCAGATCATCTTCAAGATCGGTGTATGCATGAGCTGAGATTGTTTAAATATATGGTATATATATATATATATATATATGAGGGCAATATGGTCCAAAAAAAAAAACAAATTATAGAATGTCCTTATTGAGCTGGGCTTCTCTTACTCAGGTGTTTTTTGAAGGAGAATTCATTGAGTTGTCCTTTATCTTAAAAAAAGGCCCAAAAAAGGGAGTTTCATCAAAAATCCCAAAAAAGAAAAAAGCACAAAAGAAAAAAAGAAAAAGGAAAATGTCATCACCTTGTAAACAGGACCAAAACCACCTTGTCCAAGCTTATTTGAAGCCGAGAAGTTATCTGTAGCTGCACTTAGTGTCACCCAATCAATGAACGGGAAATTCTGAGAATTCAAGTTGTCCCTTGCCTGCAAATTCTGATGATGTACATCTATCTTGCTGGGGTCCCCAGTTTCATGTAATTGAACTTCTGGGCCAGAAACTTGCCTTTCCTCTAAAATTGGAAAAAAAATAATAATAATAAAAAATAACAGGTTTAATTTTAAAGTCATGAAAAAAAGACATAATTTTTAGTGAAGGGGAAAAAAAGAATCTTCAACTAGATATCATTACTTGTCTTAGTTTGATTCCTTATAGCAAAACAGTAGACACAAAATCCCACAAGTGGTACAACTAGAATTGCTGATCCAATTGCAAGGCCAACAATCATCCAATACCTGTTGCTTTCTTTCGAAAATCATGAAGAAAAAAAAGTTGCTAAATTTGCAGCTTACTAGTTGTACAACAAATTCGAATATTGATAGATAATTTGTCAACACTTACTTGCAAATATCCTCTGATTTTCTGTTGAATTTTTACTCACATGCGGATAAAACGCATAGAACTCATACCTTAAGAAGCAACTACGACTAAAAAGTCTAGCTCCACGACACTTAGAGCAGCAAGTTGAAGAGTTTGCTATTCCTCTTTCAAGGCATGTGTTACAGTCATCTGGAGACAAGTCTGCAGTGCACTGCACGAGAGCGTATATTGTTTTAGTGTCTGTGAAGTTCACCGCTTCAGTGGTATACATACCATATGAAGCATTGAATGCTGCCAGCCTGCTAAGCTTATGCAACATGTCGTTCACAACAGAAATAAACCAGCCTAGTTCATCATCTGAAACATTTTTTGCATTGTATTTCCAAATGTTTCCCGTCACATCCAAGGTGCCAAAGAATGATTCATTGGCGTAGTGCAACTGGAAATTTCCTCCCACACAACCGCTTCATTTCTGATGTCTTGTATTGCACTTGATATGCAGTTCTCACAGTGATGTGTTGCGACGAAGTCATAGCAGAGAAAGAGACCGAAAAGTATGTCTTGGTCATTTCCGATCTTGGTGGTGTAGAACTTGGAGATAGAGGCATTTGAGGACAGAGAATCAAGAAGCTTTTTGGGATTATTATGAATTATACTATTAGTTGCAGAAATAGTTGTGTTTGAACAAAGTTTGCAGGGAGGGGCAATGGAATGAACAAAATGATGAAGAGCAGAAAAGAATGAATAAAGCAAAAGTATTTTCACTGTTTGTGGAAATGGAAACATGACTGACTCCCCTTCTTGAATGCACTGTTACATGAACTATGAAGACAATCAAAGTCTAGTGTTTAGGCTTGAGGAGAAAACAAATAAAGCTGTCATGGATTTTTAAGTAAATGCAATTATGTTAAAGGATTTTTTTACTGTAAAAGGGCTTAGGCCAATGAGCAAAGCTATAGAAACGGGAAATTATATGGTACACAGCATTACCCTTGATACAGACTTCACACACAGAAAAGTACTCAGGTGGGTAATGCTACAATATATACTGGTGTGCCATATGCAAATTAAAAATATAAACTAATTTTCCATGACTCGTATAAAAGTTGAATTCAAATTATAAATTATTTTTTAAAATATAAATCTATGCATGATTTTGTGTACAGTTTGCTCCTTTCATGTTTGATTATTTTTTAACTTTGACCCTTAAAGTTTGATTTTTTCCACTTTGACCCTTCATGTTTTAAATTTTTCCTAATTTACTCTAAAAGTTAATTTATGTTCAAAATTAGACAGAAAATGCCACGATAACTGTTACATAACATAAAAAATATATTATAATATTGAGATTTGAGTTT